ACCAGCGTTTATTTCCCCATAACAATAACAAGACCCACATTCATTCCTTATATTTACATTGGTTTATCTTTTGTGATAAAATACGCTAAAATGTTCTATTTTTTAATTGTAAAAATACCCGAAACCGTTGTTGCTTAATTCACCGATATCTGTCAATCAAGTTCACCGACCCACTCCTAACAATATAGTTCTATAAATAGACAGTCTTATTTGGATGATAGAATTATCAAATATTTATTATTCCATTGAAATATTAACAACAATTGTAAATTTAAATAAATTGTAGAATTAGATTAGACTCTAGGTAAAAAAACTTGGGTCAATCCTTGTTTTCGTTTTCGATGTATTCGTACGCCTTATTGTCACGTTACAAACTACAGTTATTGGAAAATAAACGCCGGTTTGGCTAACTGGTTTATTGAAGGGAGTGATAGTAGAAATGTAAATATTTGCTTGTAAACACTCTTTAAACTCGATTTTTTGATGGAATCAAATGAAATTAGGTATGTGTAGACATATTCATGAAACGAAGGTCCGTCGATCCGTCCGTCCGTCCGTCAACATTTGCTTGTAAACACATAGAAACTAGATTTTTTGATGGAATCAAATGAAATTCGGTATGTGTACACATAAAACGAAGATCAAGTTCGAATTTGAGCTATTTTCGACCGTTAGAAGCAGAGTTATTGCCTTGCCCCAAAATCTTGAATATTTACCACCCGCATGCCGCGGTCGGCGTATATGTCTGTGGTCCACTATCTAATTTTTTTTTTTCTAAACAATTGCAGCTTCGTCGATGAATGGCCATTCCGGATTTTTTCAGAAACCTTTAGTTTCGTTTTACATGTCGTTTTTGTGCAGTTGGGCACGATGCGGCAAGTTGGGCAATGCGGCAAAACGAACCCACAGTGAAATTAATTTATATAATCGTGCCCAACTGCAGAAAAACGACTTGTTAAACGAAACTAAAGGTTTCTGATAAAATCCGGAATGGCCATTTGTTCCATACGAAACGAAATATTTTAATCGATTTTCTTTTTATTTATAATTTGGACCTGTTGGGAAAATCGAAACTAGTTTTATGGTCAAATCTGGAAGAAAATAAATACCAAGTAGGCTACAAACGATCAGAACCGTAATACACAATAAATAAAATTGGTTATAACTTGCAAAAATTATGTCCTCTACTGCGTGCCTATAACATCACGTTATTGTGTATTACGGTTTTGATCGTTTGTAGCCTACTTGGTATCTTCCAGATTTGACCATAAAACTAGTTTCGATTTCCCAACAGATCCAAATTATAAATAAAAAGACAATCGATGCGGGACAATAGATTAAAATATTTCGTTTCATATGAAACAAATGGCCATTGCGGATTTTACAAGTCGCTTTTCTGCAGTTGGGCACGATGCGGCAAGTTGGGCCATGAAGCAAAACGAACCCACCGGGTAAAAATGTATTTAGAGCTCTTTGCAGCCATTAACCTATCCTTTCTAAAACAGCACATTTTTAAGAAAAATTATGGAATTCGAAAATTTTGGATTAATTCTTGAGACTACTCTTTAGCTATTTTCTATTCAAGTGCTTAACTAATCCAGCACCTTTATGGTTACAGACCAGTGACTATAAACTGAAAGAACAAAAAAGATTTTAAGACATTTTAGGCTTTAATTTAATAGATTGACATCATAACAGTTGTTAAACAAGATTTTAATTTTAAGACAAATGTTACTTAAGAGAACAAAATAATGTTGATTTTGGTGATAAAAAAATGACAACATTATCTATCAATTGAAGGAATAGAAATTAAGCATATAGGACGAAGTAAAGGATGAAGGTGTCCAGCTGAATCATTTTAAGACAGGTGGTTTCCTCAAAACGCTTCATCAAAGCAGTTGAGATAAATCAGATGTATGTTTTCTATTTTTCAGATGAGTTTCAATAACTTGAGCATTTTGAGAACGCCCTAGTAATTGATACGCTAAAGGTAGTAGTGTTAATATTGTGGAATGAAAAACCTCACCACCATATGTAAACAAATCTAATCCTAATTCTAAACCCTCCCCATAATCGCATTCATCATTAGCGAATTGTACATAAGTTATCAATTCCTGTAGTGGTTCAAATTTTAGATGCCTTTCATTTTCAGTTCTGCTTTCAACAATCCTTTTTAACATCTTCTTTAGGTCTCCTGTAATGAAAGAAGTTTTACTCACTACTTCGTTGCAATAATATAGAGGGACACCATGCTTGTCCTAGTACAAACAAGACTAAGGGGGGAGGGGGGGGGGGAGGGGGAATAGTATATAAATTTTTTCTGGAATACATTTGTGCAAAAATAAAATCAAGAATTTGCATTATAAGATGATTTGTGAATCAACTATCTACTCAATATTAAAAATGGGTTCCCTTATTTTCATTTATGAAGTACTTACATTTATAGAAAATAGAGGTGTTCTAATGACCTGGAAAAATACCAGCTTGTCTCGCATATCCATAATTAATTCATAATTAGAGAAGAGAAGAGAATTACCAGCAGAATTCCAATGAGTGACCAATCAAGAAAGGTCAAAAAGTCATTTTTTTGTTTTATCCAGACTGTACATACATGGACATTTATGATTGGTTAAAACTCTCAATAATATGCAATAAGAACATAATGAGATGATTAAGTATACATAATAATTCATTTGAAAACACCGATTAATCAAATAGTTTGCTTAATTTGACACTAAAAAAATAAGGAAACACATCTCTAAATATGCACTCATTTAGAGTATAGAGAAGCTACAAAATAGACCAGTAGTTGTTCAAAAGTGTAAATACTAACACAGCAGCAAATTGGGTAGAAACAACATCTTGCATTCAGTAATACCAGTGATAAAGCTTAACAAACCCAAAATAGTGAGGTCAGGGTTTGGTACGTAGGCCTTTATTATTTACCCATTGTGAAGGAGTATCGAACAATCAGACCGAGAAATTCGGCAGTGGCTGTTTACCACTGGCGTGGTAAGCGTGGTAAAACACTATAAGTACCCTTACACCTTTTTACCACGGCGTGGTAAAAGATAGCTTGCCAGGCAAGGTAATATATGCCCACTGGCAGTAGAGTAACAATCACCAGTATGAAATATTCAACCTTCAGTCATACACTTCTTTTGAACTCTTTAGGGCGATACTGAATTATACTGAGTATGTTATTGCCCTATTGATCTATTCTGTAAAGAAACAGCTAGCCACCACTATCTACCACCTAGCAGCTGCCATCCTAGACATACTTTTAAATCAATACTTTTCAGTGGTGCACTCAGAATACGAAGAATTTGTAGTAAGAAAGAATGGGAAAACAATAGATTATTTCATTTTGCTAAACATCTGAAGAATTTTGGATATAAAGGCCACATTGTAGAAACTGTCTTTAGCAAAGCAAGGGAAAGATCACGCCTTCCCCAACACCAAGCAGAAGAAGATGAAAAGAAAATGAAGATTATTCCATGGACTAACACTTATGACCCACGACAACCAAATCTACACAAAATGGCCAAAGACACAGCTATTTTAAGCTACAACCTACAGAATGACGGACATATTAAAAACAAGGAAAATCATTGTGGCAGGACGCAGGAATAGGACCTTGGGAAATTTATTAAGAAAAAACAAACTAACAGTGTGTAGAAAATGTGAATATTTCTAAAAGTGTGGGATGTGTACCTTGTAATAAACTCAAGTGCAAAACTTGTGAAAAGATGAACACAACTAACACAATCACCAATAGACACTCAAAATCATTTTATATCAAAGACTCAGAGTAATTTTGTTATATATTGCCTTACTTGTGAATTATGTAAATTTCAGTATGTTGGCCAAACAATAACCTCCTTCAATATTAGACATAACAAACATAGGAGCAACATTAACTTGAAAAAGGTTCATAAAGCTCCTGATATTGCCCCCCATTTTAACCAACCTGGTCATGATAATAAATGCACACTTCTTGGGAAAATTCCAAATGAAAGCAAAAGCATATTAGACAGTGCAGAAACTCTGTGGATTCATAGACTTGACTCTGTATGGCCGTATGGATTGAATGAACTCAAACCAGGAGGTTTCAAAATTGCTAAATATTAGTGTATATTTGGCAAATCCTGAAGTCATTATTACATACTTGTTATGTTGCATCTAACATTTTGATGTCATAAATCTTCTGAGGTCATATTATCAAGAATCAAATTGCCTCCCACCATTTTGTGATTTGACCCTTCTCTTGTTATGTGGTTTCTAAGATTGTGGCGTCATAAACCTTATGAGGTCATATTGAAATTTTAATCTTAACTACCTTCCACGTAGTTTGTTTCTTCCCCTGATGAAGTCATAACTTTTTTGACGAAACGTTGGGTATTAAAGGATGGTATTTGATGTCAAGTTTTATTATTTATTACACCCATTTCATGTGGGCGTATAAAAATTAATAAGGCTAGAACCCAGGAAATAGGAAAGTTTACATTTTTACATTGCTTATATTTTTATGAATTTCATATCTGTATTAGTTTCTTTCATTGTCAGTGATGCTTTGTATTCTAGAACTCGAGTTCAAATATATTTCTTGCATTTTTCTACTTTCGTTTTCTCTCTTAAGGTAAGCCTAACATGTGGTTATAAATTATATTGAATATTTTATATTATATTTATTGAATTCTTTGTAAGAATTTGTTTTCTTATATGATTTCAGTCTTTAACCTCTTCCGAGAGTGAATGTGGTACAATTTATAATAAAGAATAAAGCATTTTTCTTGTTATTCAAGCTACTAACATTACATGAGTTATTTCCCTTGTTCTTGAAAAGGGGTTCAATTTTTAGCTCATGAAAACTATAGAAGGCAAATATTTAACCTTCAGCCCGGTACTGAATAAAAAAAAAACAAGTTTTGTCACAATCCGGCAAGAATCATGCCTTTTAGCTAAAATTTGAAAGCGTTTTCAAGAACAAGGGCAATAACTCTTACCAAATATTTTTCTGATTTTCAATAGGGTTCATCCTTGGGTGATTACGAACACTCACACCAAGTTTCTTCAAAATCTGTCAAGAATTGTCCCATCTAGAGTGTTTACGGGCTAAAAATTGAACACGTTTTCAAGAACAAGGACAATAACTCATATTTTTCTTTTTTTCAATAGGGTTTATCCTTGGGTGATGACAAACACTCATGCCAAGTTTCGTCAAAATCTGTCAAGAATTGTGCCTTCTAGAGTGTTTACATGCTAAAAATTGAATGCCTTTTCAAGAACAAGGGCAATAACTCGTACTAAATATTTTTTCGATTCTTCTGATTTTCATCCTTGGGTGAACACTCATACCAAGTTTTGTCAAAATCCATAAAGAAGAGTGTTTACAAGCAATTTTGGACAGACAGACGGACTGACATGGATGACGGCAGTATAAGCCCCCCATTTCACGTGGGCGTATAATAAAATTAGTCATGATTTGATATTCTTTTTGGGAGAAATTGCTTAAATCTACCTAAATGTTTAAAATAATGATTTTGCAATCAAATACTCACCATTTTCATCAAAAATTCCCTTTCTATATTTAGCTAAGTGCTGCCCCTATACATTTTCGGTCTTTTTCATGTTCACCCCTAGTCCGTTTGCCCTGGGTCCATTCGCTCCACTATATTTTCTGACACAATAGTCCATGATCCACAAAATTTGGACAATATGTGTTTAATTGTCAAACCTTTTCCAATTTGTCGTCCAAAAACTTTCCTTCACTAACACATGTTGTTTCTCTAAACAATTTTATATTCCTCAGTACATTTCTTGTATCCAGAATTAAAATGAACTTCGAAACAAAGAAATAAATTATGTGAAAATTGTAAAAACTCCTTAAAGTTCTTCAGAAAGTGGAAACATGTCTCACTTTTCAACTCGGTTCATGCAGCATGGAACAATTTTATTGCGACCAGGACAAATAATTTTTTAAAGAGACTGTTACGCCAATTTTTTGACCAATCATACTTTAGTCTCTAGAAATGGGATTGTTTTAGCTAAGCCAATCAGTAATAGTGTTCACAGCTCACCGTCAAAATTTGAGCCTTCAAACTCATATGTGAATTATCCGTGTTTGAAACTAGTATACAGAAGAGGTCAGTAATGATACAGATATTGACACTGTTTGACTGCAGTATGTAGTAAAGGTCGGTAATGATACAGATATTGATAGTGATTGATTGTAGTATGTAGTGGAGGTCTTCACAATGTATACCCATTTCAAATAAAATCTCGAAGAAAGCACAACAGAACCTCAGCACTCTCAACAACATGATGATGGAGTCCAGTATCAACAGCGCAATAATCTTACCACCCTACGAAGAAGAATTCGAACCAGTTGATAATCTTCATTGGTCTCCAGAAACAGCAAACAGCATTTATTTGTTTTGGATACACCAGCTTCAAGCATCGAGTAAGTCTTTAAACTAATTACTGGGGATAAAAATACTGAGAGGCCACCGCTAGGCCAAACTGTAGTTAACTTGAGCCGCAAAATTCTCACACCCCTTCAGCATTCAATCTTAGACCGTGGACTTAAATTTATTCCCACACCAAAGATAGCTAACTTGAATTACCTCCGACCATCCATTGAACGATTTCAACGAAATCTTAGCTGCACACTTTTTTTTTCGAACCACCCCCCACGTGGTGCTAGAACAATGTTTATTCCTAAATCCACGTGGACACCCCTCAGGCCGCCATCCATTCTGAAATATTGAAAGCATTTGCGAGTATGAATAGCCAAACAGTGAACCTTTCCATAACACACGAAAATCCTAATCTCACACGAGTGGAACGTGAAGCTTTAAACTTACTTAAGAAAGACGATAGCATTGTTATTAAAAAGAGTGACAAAGGTTCATGTTGTGTCATTCTGAATAGGGAGGATTACGTTTCAGAAGCAGAGAATCAACTGAATAATAGTAAACATTATGCCATTTTACCGAAACCAATTTTCACAGAAACTGCTAACATGATTAACAATATTCTTGCCGATTTAGTCAAAACTAGTTATCTCAAACAGAAACAATATGACTATCTGTCTGGCAAACCTGATTGTCGCGAGAGACATTTGTACAGTTTGCCTAACATTCATAAGAATCCAACCAAGGAGTGGTTTATCTCGAATAAAATCCCTAAAGG